GATCGAGAGGTGGAGAGGGTCGGAATGACAGCCAATCAGGGGGAAGGATGTGGGGACTGATGAATTGCAGAGAAAGAACGGCAAGGCAACAGGTTAAGGAATGCAGGTCGTGTAGGGGATCGCGACAAGTTGGGGAAAAAAGAGATTGCAAGGCAGGAAGAGGGGCTAGGCACGGAGGGAGGGGAACATGGTGTAAGGGAATGAGAGAGCAGGATAATAAGGAAGGGCCGGAATAACGAGAGGGATAAGGTGAATGTGGATATGGCGATGCAGGTGATTGAGAGAGGGCAATGGAGAGAGAAAGAGATCGAAGAGGATGGCAAAGGAATGGAGAAAGACGGGAAGAGATGGCAGAAGAGGATGGGGAAAATCGGATTGCTGGGAGGAAGATCGGACGGGGGGATGGATGGCACAAGTTGAAAGATGGATTCGCACAGGCGGAAGAGAGGGAATGGAGAAGAAAGAAAGGGAAAAAAAGGCGAGAGAGAGAGAGAGAGAGAGAGAGAGAGAGAGAGAGAGAGAGAGAGAGAGAGAGAGAGAGAGGTGGTCGCCGTATCATTGGGTGGGTGGGTGGGGGGGGGAGAGAGAGAGAGAGAGAGAGAGAGAGAGAGAGAGAGAGAGAGAGAGAGAGAGAGAGAGGCGCATGAGAGGGCAGTTGATTGTCGTCAATGACCCGACGACGCAGCCCCTGGAGCGAGAGAGAAATAGGGTAGGGATGGAGAAAGGAGAATAGCAAGAGAACGGGAAGATTGAGGGAGAAAGAGATGGCAAGAGGGAACAGGGCAGAGAGAGATCGCAGCGGGATAATACAGTAATCTTCGGGGGCATTATCTTCTCTTCATCGGGGCACGCACGTCCTCCCGCCAATTCCCGCCCTAGGTGATTCTAAAACACAAAGAGGAGGGAAGAAAGAAAGATGATGACGAAATATTAATTAGTATGTGATATATTACTACATCCTTTCAAGCGCTTCTTCTCTATCAATAAACACTCGATTAAAATCGGTGAACAATGAACGGTGATCGGTTTCATCAGTTGGCTTTTCCGCTTCTGTTTCTTTTTATACTCGCCTCTCGGCCATCATAGAGTCGTATTGATTTAATTAATCCGTAGACCTGCGAGACACATCATCAGATTTTTATCACATTTCATCATCTTAATCGAAATAAGCGTTGAACTCTGTCCGGCGCAATAGACGTGGTTCAAAATATAGCTCCCGTAGTGTTCTCCCTCTTTCTCTCTCTCAGTGCATCTCTCTCTCTCTCTCTCTCTCTTTCTGACCGTGCACACACACAACCACGAGATATGTAATGTACAAGGTTATTTCTGTAGACCCCGGATATCTCATTGATATTTCCAGGTGTCCGGGCGTAGCCGCACTGGCTTTGATTTTGGATGTTGGTGGATGTTGATGGATGCCATGGATGTTGCTTGGTGTTGATGGATGGATGGACTGTGGGTGGGTGGGTTAGTGATGGGAGGGTGGCGCTGGTGCTGACAATTACTGGCTGGTGCCCAGTTGCTGTTTGTTGTCTTCTCTGGTGTGTGGCTCTGCTGTGACCGTTTTTTCCTTCTTTTCAGGTCGTTTGTGGACAGCTGTTGAAAGGCGTTCCCTCCCCTCCCCCCCCCCCGATCTTCTTGGCGACTTGGGGTTGCTTGATGAAGTGAGGTATATACACTCGACAGCTTCTAGTGGTCGACTCTCGTCCTGTAGGCGTAACTGGAAGCGGGAGCAGTAATAATGCAGCAGCGAAGTCGCTTGTCAGTAGAGACAGTTATGGTGGGGACCGGAAGCCTGTCAGGCAATGAAGACTAGCAAGTTTCATCCAAGGGGGGAGGGGAGGAGGGGAGGAGGGGGGGGGGAGGGCGGAGCAGCAAAGAAATCAACCTTTGAAAAGTTAGCATTATTGTAAAGGTTAAAGGTAGTGACTTCTTTTCTCTCATCACGGTAGTAGGGGGTAGGTTGTTTATTTTTTTTAGCAGCATTAGCCATTTCGAGGGCTGCTGGCTGATTATTTTTTAGCAGCATTAGTCATTACAAAGTGCTTTTTTCCCCCAGTGATGGGTACGAAGGCGGCGGACTGACTTAGTGTTCATGTTCAATTGCCAGTTGACCAGAAGCAGAGTACTTCTCTTGCCCGTCTTCACATTGCAAGAGCATTTCGATTCGATCCTGGGGCGGTCGCACTAGCAGCAACCCGAGGCAGAGTAGCAACCCGAGTCTTGCTCGTTTACCGTGGCAAGAGCATATCAATACGGGTCGGGGGGGGGTAGCAAAAAAAAAAAAAGGCGGCAGGGCACTTTTTAAAAATGCGCAGTTCCAGGCTGGCTGCGAGCCTTGGAAGGTAGCTTCGTTGTTGATGATGAAATGGAAATTTGAATTTTGAGGAGGGGGAAAAAAAAAGGGGTGGCTTTTGTCGACTTAGGCCTGTGTGAACTGGTGGCTGGTGATTTAAGGTGCGGAACAGTTGAGGTGGGCCTCTTTTTTCTTGGGTTATCGTTGTGCTTGACTGATTAGGGGTTTGAGACCAGATCATAAGAGGAGGGGGAGGGAGAAGAGGGGCGAGGGGGAGGAGAGGAAGGGGGGAGGAAGGGGGGGGAAGGGGGTCGTTAGCAGCGTTAGTGAAGTCCGTGCTACCTAGTCTAATCATTATTACGGCGTCACGGAGCTCTATTCTTGTGGCCGTTGGGCAGTGATTTCATCGGCTCGTATATATATATCTATATATGTTTGTGACGATATATATATATATATATTGCGGACTGACTGCTTCTTATTCGCTGCTGGAGAAAAGCCATAACAGCCAGCAGCCATGTCGAAGGTATGTCTCTCCTCTCCTAGTTTGTATTTATTGGTTGTTGTTTATACAATTTTATTGTGCTACCAGGGGAGGGCTCGGRGGSGGGGGGGGGGGGATGGGAATGATCTCCCGGCTATTTAACCGGGTGGGGTCCAGGCAGGGTCCTGGGCAGTCCCAGCTCAAAGTACTTCCAAAAAAAAACGAGAACCTGAAACTTTCAAAATAAATGTTTAAATCTGGGATGAAAATGTTGTGTAGAATTCCAATTGCGAACAACATTTTGTGTTGAGGGCCCCATAGAAATTGCTTGTTAAATTTTTTTTTTTTTATAATGAAGATCACTGTTTATTAATGTCAAAGCCGGAATTGCTTTTGAGATAAAGCTAAAATAGAAAGCTCAAATTTTGAAAATGAGAGTTAAGATGTACCCCCCTTTGAACCCCCTTAAAAACCTGTTTACGGTTAACTTTGATACGCTCCAAACCCAACTGGGTCACCCATCACCGAATTGGAAGATAAGGCTGGATTCAGACTGCTCAGGCCAAGCGCAACAGGTTCATTTGTACACATTGGTTTTAATTTGTGAAGCTCATCGACTACCTTTTTCACCACTGCTCGGGGATTAGCAGCACCCAAAAAGAAGAAAAAGAAAAAGGAAAAAACGGATGGGCCGCCCATCCGTTTTTTTCACTTGCTGGTCCATTCAAATGACGATCCTGCGGCCACAGTTTTTTTTTTTTTTTTTTTTTTCCCCGTCTACATGGCATTAACCGGATTTGGCTGAGGAGGTCATGGGGGTTTAAACCACCAGTTGTGGGGGGTTAAGTCTCCACTCCTGGGGGTTTAAACCACCAGTACCGGGCACCCTTCTGTGCAGCGCTGACATTTTTTCAATTACGAGGGAATGATTTTTTTTTTTTTTTTTTTTTTCCGAGGGAATGAATTTAACTCAGGGAAGCCGGTATCACGCGGGGTCCACTGCACGATGCCCTTGTTAAATTTGGCTCGGGCAGGCCGGTACCCCGGCGTCCAAAGCGCGACGCACTTGTCAAAAAAATGGCACACTTTGTGCGAATGCTAGGAGTTGACAACTTTACACTTGGTTAAATATTATGATGCATGAATGAATCTGACCAGGCTCAGGCTGAGCGGTACATTTAAAAAGCGATGTTTGAAGTTTGAAGTTTGAACCTAACTGCTAGATACCATTCATTGCATGCAAAACAACTATATAGTATATACCCCATCTCTATTGAATAACCAAACTACCGTCTACCCCCACCTGATAGAATGTAGGCCGTATGTTCATTCTAGCTGTATTTGGGGCAATTTGTTTTTCTACGCACAGCCATAAGGACCATATATAGAACGTTATAGCTGTATTTGGGGCGACTTTTCATCTAGGTACAGCCATAAGGACCATGAAGTGTACAATTTGGGGGAAGAAGGTAGCGTATCATTCAAACTGAAATTGCAAATGTGCCTAATTTCTGAGGAGCAGCAGTAAACTGTAACCCTAGATTTTTAGGGTTTCTTTTCCTCATGGTCTTTTTTAGGACAAAAAAAAAAAACGAAACCTGTTTTTTAGAATTAAAACCAAACTATTACCAATTCAAAAAATTAAAACCAAACTATTTGCAATCTAATCCATCGAGTGGACACCACATATAAATCAACAGCTAAAATAATAAATAAAAATAAAAATGTAGCCTGAAATGTGCTTTTTTCCCCTTCAGGAATCTGATTCTCCGATTTTAAGAATTTCCAGGGCTTGGCGTAAAAAGCCATCTTTTTCTCTCTTTTTTTATTTTATTTTTTTAACACCCATGTCCAAGGCTCCGACGAACTCCAAACTCGAGACACACGACCGTTGACATAAAAAAAAAAGAAGACAGGGCATAAAAAGAAAAACTAGGAAAAGTTATCTGAAAAAAAACTGAAACTAATTATGCCCGATTGGCCTTTTGAGCGCTCGGGGGGGGGGGGGGGGGG